CTTCCGGTTTCTCCGGTCTTTCCGGTTGTCCCTGTTTGCCTTTACATACGCTGCCTCGTTAAGAGGAAGCAACGACGGTCAGATATATCGGACAGGTGATAGAACTGTGGATAGGTCCGCCTTCCACTTTTCTACACGATTCTTGTTGCCGCCGTTTCGCGAGATTCTCGCGACCGATTCTCTCTGACCGCTCATCGTTCTCTCTAGTGGCACGAAAACACGAACGTCGGACGCACGGTGAATATTAATGCGTGTTTTTGCACGTGTAGACGTTTATTTTTGCTCGTATTTTTAGCAGCTGGTATTTTCGAACGGGACCGCCACTATTTTTGTCCTAGCACCACCGCCATACGGCGTATTACCGTCGAGAGAGACCACCTACGAAGCGAATTTTTTCCCTCTCTTTCTTCTCTTCTACGCTACTATTCTACGCTTAGCCGCGCGAATGCGTTCGTTTCGCGCCGATGCAGCACCCCGCGTGACTCTCCGTCTTGCATCTACCACCTCGCGAGCTACACGCGAGCTACACGCGAGCTACACGCGAGCTACACGCGAGCTGTTCGCTCGCTCCGGATCGGAAATTCGAAGCGCTATCCGGATAATATAGGACTAGAGAGAGGATGCTGCGAGTCTTCGGACGTACCGAACGTTCGTATCGATTCGGCTATTTCGAGCGGAAGGTAGTTTACGGTATAATTGCGCCAACACATAATTAAACGGAGTTACGTGATCGGCTACGCAAATAAACGTCCGAATGTGAACGGGAATGCGAGCGTAACGGCGGTGTCGTTACAGCGAATCGAATTCGAGTACGATTCGTGGACGCGCGAGATATCGCATCGAGCCTGATATATATCCCAGGAGCAGGAGCACACGTAGTATATCTGTCGTTCGGTATAGTTTCTCGGAATTTTCAAAGAAACGAATCGGTCGTGATCGAACAACCATTCGATGCGTAACGAATGCCGTTCTCGTGTTCGAGTCTACCCGAGTGCTATTTCGAAGGGGTGAAAGGGCCGTAGCTAGGTAAGCAGCTAAAAATAACGCCGGTACATCATATCGAGCGGTCGTCTATAAATAGTCGGAAGTGACGAGAGACCCTGGATGGATTGGAATCACGAGCGGCGCTACCCAACACGCGCCTCCTCGCCCCTCCCCCGCCCCGCCCTTCGCTCTTCTTTCGCTCTTCCTTCTTTTTCTTCTCCTCTCGTCTCGCTCCAACTCGATCGATCGTAATTAACAACGGACGTTCATTGACGATGTTCGGTCTCGATACGACGCGATGCCGCCACGCGTGTATTCATGGCTCGTATCGAAGGAATAGCCAGTTCCGTGGTTGATTCCTGGTATCATGGTCGCAGCCGTGTCGTCGTGCGGTAACCGAAGAAACGGAGATGCCGTTTATTCGGTGATCGGGCGACGTAACGCGAAGCGAGTGGAGGAACGCGTATCACGCGGCAGTGCGGCATTCTCGCGTAACTACGACTGTTTCGTTACCGGGGTTCCCTCGGTCGATCGATACGATCGAGCTTTAGGGTGGAGCGACGGAGCGAGAGAACGGTAGGAGATGGTTCAAGAAGGGGTGACCTTGTCTCCTATTTTCGGAAGGTAGCTTTCTCGCCACTTACCATCCCGCGGGCTTTATTCCGAAAGGAATCGGAATCGAAGATAGACGTGCAGCGAGAGATACAAGGGAAGAGTAGTGGTAGGTGGGGAAATCGGCGAGCAGAGAAAAACGCGTAGTTATCGATCGAATTTAAATAAGCGTTTGCTCGCACCGCCAACGATCGCGTGTCCGTTGGAAACACACCGATTCTAATGTCTCGAAAAGACTTTCGCGCGCGTTTCACCGCCGAACCGGCTCCGTGTTTGCCATTTCCTCTCGACGGATCGCGCTTGCGGGACATTCGTACCGAACATTCCTACCAGTCGTACGTATTACGTAACCAACGAATAAATTGCCGCATCGGTTATCGATACGTCGACAGTCGATTTCTATTTCCGCGTTCGATTAGAAAAACCGCTATCTAGTTGCGAAAACTCCCATCCCCCCCCCCCTCTCTCCCTCCCTCCCTCCCTCGCTCCTTTTGCTCGAAGAAAGTGTGCATCAACGAAGAGCAACGACGAGAGAAGGAAAGACCGAGCCGTAAGACGAAGATACGAAATCGTCGAATCCCCGGTTATTCTCGGTCATCGCTGTTTTTTCATATATTTTTCTTTTTCTCCTTATTTTCTTCCATTTGTTTTTCGCGGTTTTTCGACGAAGGAAGGAGACGCGAGGCGTTGAAAACGGCAGAAATAGGGCAAAGGAGGACAACAGACTCGGTCTAGTCGGCGGGAAGCGACACGACACGACGCGACGAAAACAGCCGAGCGAGAGACACAGACGAGTCCAAGTTGTCGGCCGTGGTCGCTGGCGGTGGTGATGGTGGCGGTGGTGGCGGTGGCGATGTTGGTAGTGGTGGTCGGTTCTGGAGCGAAGCTGAAACGTGGAAAGGACGGAGAAAGATGGTGAACGCGGTGGAGGGGAGAAAATAGTAATGTGGCAGCGGAGAACGGAGCAGCGTGCAAAGGCAGCGAGAAGGCGGCAGAAGGGCAGCACTTGCGACTAGGTGGCGGTTATGGCGGCGGCGGGGAAGGAAGAGGAGAAGGAGAGAAGGTGGAGAAGATAGTGGAAGCGAAAGAGGGTGAGGCGACGGCGACGGAGACGGAGACGGCGACCAGTGGTGTAGAAACTTGCTGGCGACGAAGAGGAGAGGTGCACGAAGCGAAGCGGTTTCACAATTACGTCGCCGACGGTGCGCGCGCTCGCGCGAGAAACACAAATGTGCTCCGAACGCAACAATACCGGGTATCTATAAATAGCCAAGATTCGCGAGCCTCGCGAGGCAGGGCGCTGTCATCGTGCGCGCACGGTACTCTCGGAGAATGAGAGAGAATCGCGAAAGAAACGGTAGCGCGCATCGCGCGCGCAGTTCTCTTTCGTTATCCGTGACGTGCACTCGTGGAAGCGAATCCAAGCTTCTACCTTTAAGTTCCGTTCTTCGTTCGGAGTCCTCTTCGTTGTCATCGTCGTTATTGTCGTCGTTGTCGTCGTCCGTTCGACTCTCGATGGCTCGTCTTCGATAAAATGTAAGCCATTATTCTTGACGCTTACGACGTTTACTTGTGTTTTCGAGCTACAGTCCAGACTGATTCATCTTCGTAAACTCTCTATCGGCGGGAGGGTTACCGTCGTCGAGATCGCCTGGTGTGTTATTTCTTGTGTTCGGTTGGTGCTGAGAGTGGTAACAGTGCGCCGCGATATGGTGCACGATGGTGACTAAATCGCGTTTCGAGTTTTCTCGTTCGGTGTTCGAATGATAATACATCGTGTAGACATCGGATGCGCAGTGTCGCCATATACCACCGTGCGAGCGAACCACGGTAAACTTCAGCCGAAGGAAACGCGTAATTTCGTAAACGCGTATTACGCGTGTGATCTCGCGTATTCGAGTAATCGGCCTTTCTCTTCCGCAACAGGAGTCACATTTGCCTCGCATCATCCGCGTTTTCCTTCTTTTTTCTCTTTTACCCTGTTTCTCGTTATATCCTTTCTCTTCCTATTATCCGGTAAGAGCAACAACGGTAAAATTTGCCACCTGATTCTGGAATTCGAGAGGATTTTTTTTTTTTTTTTTTTTTTTTTTTTTTTTTCTAAACCGCCGTTTCGAGGTTTTCGTTTGCTTTTGCCGTTTACGGAGGTAATTCCGTGAACCATATTATTGGCGTTTATCGCGCTTCGTTTAGTCCCGTTGATGGAAAAGGTCATCGTTCGAAATCGCTCTATCGTATTTCCAAATCAGCCAGACACCTGTTGTGCACGGATGTAACATCGCGACTAGCATCGCTCGTGTAACTTGGTGGTATACAAAGTGACCGGGGTGCATCGATACTTTTCGTCTCCTTTGTTTCTTCCTCTGTTTCTTTGCCACGTTCCTGTCTCCCTCCCTCCCTCCCTTCCTCCCCCTTCCCCACCCTTCTCTCCCTCGACCGTCCTCCTTGACGTCCCTCATTCCCCCTCCAGCTCATTTACCCTTCTTTCTCTCTTCTTATCTCGCGCTATCTTTTCCCTTTTTTCGTGTTTTCCTTTCCGTTCTTTTCGTTCGATTTTTTTCGCATTCCAAACGAAACGAAAAGAAGCAAGAAAGAAGCAAGATGATCGGTCGCGTTATCGAACGTCGATTTTCGCTAGTCGAAATGTTATCCTTCCGTGCGAGTTTCGATAGTTCTCGATACTCGATGCCGCGTCGTAACAGCGTTTTCAACAGCGTTGGAATAAAAGACGCAAGAAGAAAGAGAAAGAAAGCGACGACGCTCGTGCGCGACGCAACGCGAAAAGTACGGGGAGAAAACGTTGAACTAGCTTTTCGAATTCACGTACGGTTTCGAACGTTATTCGCGATTAAGAACAGGGGAATGAACTCCGGTGGAAGAATGGGCGGGCAAGGAGAATCGTTGGCGAATCGTTGGCGAATCGTTGGCGTTCGCGAGATTCGCCGAGTTGGTGTCACGCGTTAGCACGCATGTGCGCGCGATTACGATTCATCGTGTTTTACCCACGTAAACTGACATTTGCGCCAGATCGGTGGTGAAAGCGCATGCGCGTACCACGAACGTTGCGTCCAAACGTCTTTTCGACTACACTCGATACGCGGCTATATTCTCGCGACTGGCAGGGTGACTCGGTACACGGCTCGGGACACGACTCGAACGTTTGGCTGATGGTTGATACGTGTTAATACCTCTTTTAACGACGAAAGAATCGAGTGACCGCGATTCGCGAATCCGTCGCGACAAAGAACAGAAACTGAAACGTGCTTGACGTCACTGGAGTCATTCCCGCCACTTAGACCAAGTCACGAGTTCAATTTAGAACGCGAACGGTCAAGTACCGTAGTCCGATTGGCCGTCCCGTTCTCTAACCTCTGAAAAAGTCGTCGAAAGGTTTCTCTTTTTCCGCTTTCTTTTTCCCTCTTTCTTTTTCTCTTTATTGGTTTTTCGTTGACGGGTATGCGGACGGTAGAACCGATTCTAAACGATGACCCGTTATCGTCGAGTGTTACGAAAAGTCAAAGATGGAGATAACGCGGTGGAAGATAGCGTTTGGTTGAACGTCGGTGATTCGCGTTGTTCCGATATCGCTTCCAGTACACGGGGTCATTGGTCTTCCTTCCTCTTGGTTGCTCATGACTCGAGGAAGTACGCACGAGATGTACACGCCCACGCGGTGAAACCAGCGCGATCGCGTCGTCCCGTATCGGCTGTTTCCCGAACTAAACCGTTCCTCTCGCCGTGTGTAACCTGCCATCCTCTATCTTCTCGATTCGTTCGAACCCGTGAAATCACGATCATTTACTCGTTGGCTAGTTTTCCCTTTTCTCTCAAAGATTTCTCTTTATCGCGGTTTGTCGCGGAAAACTCGAGACGGACACGTGATTTCAGCGCGGGACGGGGAATTTGATAATTTCGTTGGATCGGATCGGATCGGATCGGATGGAAAGGTGTCCTCGGACAGGATCCGAGACGAGTAAATCGAACGGGGCAGTACGAGATATGCGCTGGATCGCGTTAATATCCCTAGGATCGCGCAGCGTACCGTGTCCGATTGCGCTATCGTCGTTCCCGATATGCGTCGGACGGAACAATTAGGTACGTACTACGGAATGTCGGACATGTTCGAAGGAAAAATAACACGGGCCAGACAGAACTCGAATGATCATTGAAAGGAGAGCGAAGAGACGAACAGAGAAAATTGCATGTGTGCGTGCGTGCGATGGGGGCGAGAGGAAGAGGAGAAGGAGGAGACGCGTGTACAGTCGCGTTTAGTAGGTGCGTATATAAATGTCATCCTATATATAGCGAACGTTCGTCTAATCTTAGCTAGTCGGCCACCGGCCAGGAACACGAGTTAAAACTTACTTTGATTCTCTTTGCTCGTCCTCTCATCCCGCGTTCGCACCGACCATCCTTCGATCAGCCGACCACGCAGTCGAGTTTCCGGTCGAGCTCTACTTTTCTCCCACGCGCGTTCGCGCTTTCATTCCGAATACTCTCGGAATACTCTCGGAATACTCTCGCGACCTCTGCTTCTCAGCCGACTAACTGGAACGGGAGTTACCACGGAGCCACCTAGCCACCTAGCCACCTAACCACCTAACCACCGGAATCGTTTCGAAAGACGAAAGTATATTAGACCGGTAGCGCGTACGAACCACCACTGGTTTCGCTGAACGGACCGCGCGCGCGGTCACCTTTTCCTCTTTTTACATCGGCTACTACTCGCGCCTGACCTACACACCGACATTCGTTGGCTAATAATAACGGTACGCCGTGCCGAGGCGCCGATACCGCGATTCTCTTTCCGTTCCTTTCCAATCCAGTCGCCTCCGACATCGTCCCTGATCGGCCATCTTTCCTTCTTCCTTTTCCTTCCTCCGTTCGCCGCGTTTTCGACACTCGGCCGGGGACAAGGAAGAAGGAAAGAATATGGAGGCGTAGATGGTAATTGGTAAGGATAAGATTAGGAATTGGTAAAACGCGAAGAGACGCGGAAGCGAAGGAACCGTCTCTAACGAGGAGACATAGTTGGCCCCACGGTTGAGTGGCGTAAATTCGCGGAATTCGCACGTTCCCCGGCGTTCCCGTTGGAACAAACGATCGCGATCGCGCGCTACCTTTCGTCCGAGCTAACAGAAGCACGAAAGAAAAAGAGACGAACGGCAAAGCGAGTCTGTCGAGAAACGGCCCTCCTCCGCGATTAACCTTGGACTTGACTCGGAGGAATGCAGCGTACAGTGACCTCTGCTCGCCCGCTAACTCGACGCGAGCGTCGACTCGTTTGCACTCGCGCTCATCTTCGGCCCGTTGTCCGCCTCTTCTCGCTCCGTTCTCCATTCGTTTCAGACCACCCTTTCTCTCCCCTTTCTCTCCCCTTTCTCACCCCTTTCTCATCCCTTTCTCACCGAGTTCCTTTATTACCACTGCCACGCTTATTCTTCTTTCGCAACACGCGCGACTAGAGGGCGCTTTTCTTTTTTTCGTGGCAATCGCGAAATACCTACCTACTCGATTCGCGCCAGGGTACCCGTCCAGGGGCAAGGGTGTACCATCGCCGGAACGTTTATCGTGTTACCTCTTTCCCGTTTGTTTCAGAAGACGTGGGTTACAGAAGCGTTGAGATCGCGTCCGCGTTTACTCATCTGCCGCAGAAAGGTAAGTTACGTTCGACGAACGAGGACGATGCTCGTTTTCCATTCGTTTTCGCCTGGAAATTCGATCACCGCGTCGTGTCCTTCCTCTTTCGAATTCCAACCATCGCGTTCGTGTATATACGTACACGCGTGTATATGTACGATGCACAGAGATGGCCAGGGATACGCCAGGTTCGCCAATGTCCAGACCAAGAGACCTGGTCGGCGGTGTTGGCGGTGCTACGACCACCTTGACATCCAGCGGCTATCACGCCGCCTCTGGAGATCCAGCGAATCTCCATGGCCACGTGCTGCAACAAAAGATACTCGAGGTAACGTACTCGATTCCATTTCACGTCCACTCGATCGCGATTAACGAGTTGACGCGATCGATGCACAGATTCGAATACCCCGTTTCTCCGTGTGACCAGCGATGCCGATAATCGCGCTGCCAGTTTAATTGTCGTCGTTCCTCGATCCGATCCGGATCCAGTTGTATTCGAATCTGTGCATCGCGACGACATATTTCCGGACCACCTCGATCGTTAATATTTTCAGTTACAGCAACATCACCAACTTCAGCAGCAAATTCTACGTCAGCAGTATCAGGCGCAAGAACGACAACTGGCCGAACTACACGAGCAACAGATGCATCAGCTGAAAGTACGTAAGCTGCTCCGTTCGTTGTATCGTCGATTCCGTTCGTTTCGTTTTTTTCGTCACGGTTGCTCGCGTTTCCTCCTCGGAAAATAGTTACGTCGGACAGCCATTGCTCATCGAAGATACATCCTCGTCTTCGAATTGTCTCTTCGAGTTTCAAGGAATAAAATTTCGTTTTATTCTCGTCGTTTGTCTGGGAAAGAGAAATCGCGTGCACCATGTGAGATCGATTCGCGCGATTCGACTCGTACGTCTCTCTCACACCGTTTTCCGCTATTCGTCTGCCTTTTGTCTTCTTCCTGTCCTTGCACGCGTTTCAGCGAAATTATCGTTAAAAGTTACTCTCTCGTACGCGAATGTCCATCGGGTGAACGATGATACGTTTGCTAGTGGTTTCTACGTGTACGTTTAAAAGCGACGTATTTTTCCTTGCTTTTCCCTCTTTTGTTGTAGCTCTGGGAGCAGCAGAAGCAACTGGAAGAGCAAAGGAGAGAAAAAGAGAGACTCGAAGCGCTGAGGAAGAAGGACAAACACGACCATAGCGCGATCGCTTCGACGGAGGTGAAGCAACGACTTCAGGTACTTAAATGGCAGGCTGGGGTCGGTCGTATCGCGTCGAATCCATCCGCACCGGTCGACGATTTTCGTCCTCGTAGTCGTCGTCATCATCATCATCGTCGTCGTCGTCGTTGTCGTCGTCGTCATCGTCGCCGTCGTCGTCGTCGTCGTCGTCGTCATCGTCGTTGTCGTCGTCGTCGTCGTTGTCGTCATCGTTGTCGTCGTCGTCGTCATCG